TCTTGTCCATATGGTGTTCACCATAATATCTGTGAACTGCTATTGATGGAAATGTCATAAGATACATGACTCGTTAAAAATTTTGACTATAAACGAAGCAAAAAACCAATCTCAGGAATTCTCAAGGCACTGAATTTTATAGAGGACACAAACTGGCTACCTCAGTAGTCAAACAAAAACAAAAACAAAAATACCAACCAACCAACCAAACGAAACCCTCAGACAATCCTGTTTGGCACATTAGTACATTACCATGGATCAAAGAATTATGATGAGAAATTCAAATATGAGAACCATGAAAAAAAACCACTGCATATCAAAAATTTTCAAACTAAAGTTAAAATAGTAAAATTTAAAATCTCAAATGCATATATATAGTTGAAAATTAATGAGCTAAATGTCACCTTAAGTACAAACCTACACACAATAGAAGCGCTAATGACAGTACAAGTTAAGGAAAATAGATATCAAATAATGAAACCAGAGATCCTCTGAAACAATGGATCAAACTCACAAAACTGACAGTGTGGATTAAAAATTACAAAAATAATAGGGATAAAAGAAGAAACATGACTGCAGTTGATGCAGAAATTAGCAATATAATAGGCTTTCTTGAACTTCACACTAATAAATTTGAACACTGAAGAATGGAAAAAATCAGGAAAAATATGATTAATGAATAAAAATTCAAACAGTCCCATAATCATAAGACTGAATCGGGTCAGGTGGTGGCGTACACTTGCAATCTCAGATCTCACCCTGAGTTCTGAGCAATTCAGTGACTTAGCAACATCTGTCTCAGAATAAGAAACGTCAACAGCTTGTGATGTAGCTCAATGGGAAGGCCACACACACACACCCTGACTGAATCAGTAATTTTAAAACAATCTTCTCACAAACAGAATTCGAGGCCTCAATGGTGTGGGGAGTTCAAAATTCCTATCTTACACAAATTATTTCAGAGTACAGAAATAACATAGAAATACTTCTCATTTCATATGGGCTCAGGAGACAGTATTTATGACACACATAACCACAGGAACAGTTCCACAGGAGGATGGAATGATAACCAACCACTGAGAAAAAAAGGAGAAACCAAAAGAGTAATTTCACAAAGAATATGAACAGTGAAATGTTTAAGGTAGTTAAGACAATTAAAGCCAGAATGAAACATTTCCTTTTCACCAAATTGGCAAAAATTAAACAATAAAACAATGCTAAGTCTTGGTAAGATCATGTAACCAGAGTCCCTTCCCATTACTGGAGGGAGTGTACGCCGGGAGAGCTATGTTGAGAAATGGTTTGCATACTCAAAGTTAAATGTGCACACACATTCTTTAGCCCAGCAGGTCCACTGTGTTGTTTACAAAAGCCAAAAGCTCTAAACAATCTAAATGACTATCAATAAGTGAGATACACGATTTATGGTATATTTACACAATAAACTACTATGCTAAATCCATCAAGACGGATCAATTTTAAAAAAGCAAAAAAAAAAAAAAAGCAAAATTATTTTACTTGAAACTTAAAAAAAGGGCAACAATCATTAACTACATCCAGTCTTAAAACTACAAAAGGGAAGGGAGACTAGCATAACATTTACAATTGGGAGTCAGGGAAGGGCAACTGAGACTCCAAAGGGATTGTTTCTTGGCCTGAGAACAGTACATCCTCATGAATTTTTGCATGGATGATACAAACTCTTCACCCTTGGAATCTGTAATATGACCTCATTTAAAAAAATTTTTTGCAGATGCAGTGAAGGATCCTGAGAATAGATTATTCTGGATACTCCAGTGGGCCCTGGATGCCACGACCACTGTCTGTAAGAAAGGCAAAGCAAGATTTTACTGACACAAGGCAGAGATGAGACTGGAATTATGTAGAGTAACCAGCCAGCAACCACCAGCAGCTGAAAAGGTAAGCCATTGGCTCTCTCCTCGACTTCTGAAGGGACCATGACCTTGATGCCTTTTTTAAATTTTCCTACAATATAAGAACTGATCTGAAGTCAGATGTGGGAACACATACCTGTAACCCCAGCACTTGGGAGGCTGAGGCAGGAGGATCGCTACAAGTTTGAGGCTTGTCTGGGCTTTGTAGTCAGTTCAAAGATAGCCTCAAATTCAGTCCCAAAAAACCAAAACAAAATGAAAAACAATTTTACATTATGACCAGCATACCACATAGTATAAATTTGTGGCTTCATGTGCTATATTATAGTACAGTCTTGTCAAGTAACTTTATATTTTTTAAAAGGGATTATTACCTATAGTCAACTATTTCTTTCTTTCCTTAATCTTTTTGAAATAGAGTTGAACTCATTTTGTAGCCTAGGTTGGCCTCAAATTTGAAATGATCCTCCTGTTTCAGCCTCCTGAGTGCTGGGATAACAGGGGTGCACCACCACATCTGGTATACATTTTCCTTTTTTACCAATATCAATAGATAAAAATCCAGAGATTTGTATGTCACTAACAATTACAATTTAAATTAAAATAGTTTAAATGTTGCTACATATAATAGCAACAAAGGTTACCAGACAGATGTAAATCTTAAACTTCATGTAGAAAATTATAAGACTTTATTGGAAGGCATGAAAGATATAGACATACTATGTTTATAAATATAAAGCCTCAACATTATAAATACGACAATTCTCCCCAAATCAATATATAAACTCAATGCCATTTTTGTAAATAAAAATCCACAAAGGTTCATAGGACCTTAACAAGCTGATCCTAAAACTTTTGAGTGTATCATGATTCAAGATGTCCCAAACTTAAAAAAAAAAAAAAAAAAGCCCTAACAATGAACAACAGTAGAATCATGGTGTTGGGTGCTGTGCCCCAGCCTGTATGACAGGAATTCGTACCGCAAAGCTATGCACCCTTAAAGGGTGATAGAGCTGGATACAGTACTGTTCCCAGCGCTAGTCAGATAGATACAGTAAGGCATATAAAAAGGGGTATAAATGAGAACTTTGATGTAGGACAGAAGTAAAAGATTAACTCTTAAATAAATGACACTGTGAAAACTAAGTGTAAGTACAAAGTGTAAAACTTGAGGTAGGTGCCACAAACTACATATACCAAAAAATACACTCCTTGGTGGCTTTAAGACTGAAGTGAAATATAAAAACATATCCAGAGCAGAACATAAATATCTTTATAATGTGGAGGAGTTAACACATAAAAAACACAAACCATAAAGATGGTTAAATAGTAAAATAAAAAATTGTACAATAAAAATCACAAAAGTAAAAATGTAAGCCATAAACAGGGAGAAGACATTTGTAACCTATATAAATGTCAGGGGTTAGTCAGAAATACATAGAAAGCTCCTTAAATCATCAGGAAAACAAGCACAACAGAAAAACTGGCAATCAGGATATAAACAGGCAATGCAGAACAAGGGAAGTCAAATGGCCAATAAATACTGGAAAACATAATCAACCTTAATAAAAATCAGAAACATGAATTTGTGAGCATCCAAGGCAGTATTTCAAATTCTTCAGACTGGCAGATAGTCCATCAACACTTGGTACCAGCAAGACTACAGAGCAACGGCAACTCTCACATACTGCTAGTGGGAGGCTGCATCTGAATAAGTGCTTTGCTGAACAATTTTGTTAGCACCTAGGCTGCCACTGAACATATGCAGATCTCATGTTCTACTAGTTCCATTTCTAGTGGGATGTCCTAGAAAACCTGATTTCAATAGAACATTCATTTCTGAGCTATTTGCACTGTGAAAGACAGAACTCTCACTGTACCTCAGTAAAGGTTGTCTTTGTGATTTTTTAAAAAATCTGATACAAGCAAGGTTTGTAGTCTCAGCCACTTGAGAGGCTGAATCAACAGAATCTAGGGAACTTAGTGAGTTATCAGGCAGGTCAGTGAGATTATTTCTCAAAAAATTTAAAAGGTTGCAAGTGTAGCCCTTTGGGAGACTGATTGCCTAACATTGTGTGAGGCCCTGGGTTTAATCTCCAGTACCAACAAAGAAAGTACTGGGCAGGGGCTGAAGTTTATAAAGCATTTGTTATATACTGTTTTGCAGACTTATCTGCTTACCCAAAATTACATAATTTAAAATTGTACATTTATGTATGAAACAAAACAGCAGCAATACACTTACACTTAAAGTATTTTAAAATTTAAGTTTATCCACATGAATTTTATTCATGAAATGTTAGCCATGATACACAAATATATAGTTCTCTACAAGCTATCACCTAGTAAGGTAAAGTTTTTATTGCTTACACCCTAGAAATTATCCTATAAAGTGCTTACATTTACCATCAATGAAAATAAACACAGCAAACACCCAATTCAGGAACACAGTACTGCAAGAAGCTTGTCTTAAGCTTATCTCCACCCCAAACCACTCTTCCTCCTCCAGCCCATTGACGGGTTTCAGGTAAAGAACCTCTGCATTCCATGCTACCAGACATGTGACCAAGCTAACACTTGTGGCGTGTACTATGTGCCGACCACTGTTTTATGGTCTTTACATTTGTTCATTTTTGTTTTTATCGTTTTTATCGGTACCAGGGATCGAACTCACGACTGCCTGCTTGCAAGGCAGGCGCTTATGCCTCTAAGCTAAATCCCCAGCCCCTGTTCATTTCATTTTCATAAACACCCTTTGAGGTCAGTATTCTTAACATAAAGGGTAATTTGCATAAAGTTAACTAGGTAGTAAGTGATGAAGACAAGATTCAAAGTCAGGCAGTTTGGCTCGAGAGTATGTATTTTTAATCAGGAATCGTAGCTCCTAGTTGAGTAGTCAATTAGAAAAGGGTTATTAGGAAAACAGCCTGATAATTACAACTTTTAAAATGAGACTGAATGAAAAAGGGATAGAAGCAGAGTGCCCAAAGCATTTTTGTTTTATTCTTTGCCAAATACTCAGACACTACTATACTTTTAGTTCTTGCTTTGAAAATCAGTTTTCCCTCAAACTGCTAAAGATGAAGAGTTTTCTATAACAGTGTATTCTTTTAGCTTCTTTATTAACTTTGTTGCATAAAACATATACATTCTCATATTGACATTTTTGTCATGAATAGACAACAAAAATAAGGTAATAGCAAGACGTGCTCCACATAAACAATCACATAATAATAGAAAGTCTAGATTCCTATAAAACAAAAAGATCAGGAAGGAAAATATGAATAAGCATTGTATACAGAATATACTCAAATGTGTGTGCAGAGTATATTCATAATATTGTTCACTGAAGTTCTTTTATGATGCATAATTTCTTAACCATCCATTTGTAAAATAAAGATATTAACAAGGAGTTCAAATCATTTATTTTCACAATATCAAGGCTAACCTCAAAGAAGCAATTTCATAGACTCTCAATGTTAACTGTTTCTAAAGTAAAAGACAATTTTATTATTTTTAACCCTCTGAATAAGGTCTGCAAAAAAGAGGGCTTATTGTATTGCTACTTTTGGAAGACCAGGTCCCAGCCTGCACTTACATGGCATCAGTAACATGAGAGCCAATAAATCCATCACTGAGAGCAATGCCTAGCCATATAAAGCACTCAGGTGAACTGGGTTTTACTTCTAGCAAGCCTATTAAGCCACCCAGTAGCATAGAAGCTCAGACGTCATGTACCAGAAGTACTAAATGAACTGCACATCTGTTAGATATTTCCAAGTCCCTGCTTCTAACAGTTTTAGTACACCTATTAAATAGGCAGGTCATTTGAAAAAACAGAAACAAAACATATACCCAGTCTTTGCAATTAAAACATTTTTATAATGTGAACAATGTTCAGACACAAAATTAGAACTATATGTTTTTTCTGAATACAATTTATATAATTAAGAGTTTTTAAAACAAAGACCGCTCTTAGGTATATGATCTATACAAACTTACAGTAGTGTATGTTCCAAATAAAGATTTTGTATTATGACATGACAAAATAATCGTTTTCTAAGTAAAGATATGCTAAGGCCTAAGGTTGTAAACACTTTGAAAGCCAAACAGCTTAGTGAAAACATCACTGTTCATTTAAAAACGTGTATCATCTCAGACCCTGAACTTTCAAATTTACATGCAAGAATACATTTACATCTTAAATGTCTAGGAAAGGCACAAGTTTACGTAAAAAAAGCAGCAAAATTTTAAACCCACCAATTTATGGAAAAGCCATTACTTTTATTAGAAAAAAAAATGCTTCTCAAATGTTGGTAACAAGTCAGGTACAGACACAGGTTTGGTTCAGTGTATTTCTCCCTGAATTACATCCCGGGAGGAGCAGCAGTCCCTCCTTGGCCATGGGGAGCAGAAGTGTTTGAGGGTCTGTGTAAGTTGGTCTCCTTGTACACAAACCAAGCATTTCCTCCCCACAGTATCATATTCAGAAAGCCAAAGATCTATGAAAGAGAAAAATAAATGTGAAAACCTAATGCTTAAACAGTTTAGTTTCCTTTTTAATGACTTTAGGCAGTACATTAATTTCATTTAACATTTAAACCACTTATAAAGTAGAATAAAAAAGACTATACTTGAATGTATAATGGTTTTTTTTTTTTGCACTGGGATCAAACTACAATCTTGCGCTTGCAAGGCAGGTGCTTATGCAGCTAAGCTAAATCTCCAGCCCTGAATGTGTAAAATTTGGACATATGACTCACTTCCAACTAAATAAAGCTAAACCTCTAAATCTGCAACACATTTAAAATCATGACTAAAAATTTTTATTTTTGCATGCTCATTGCATAAAAGCTATGGGATTAACATAAGAACCTTGAAACTCTCCTTGTATTACTCTGTGTTTAGCCTTCCAGGTTCCCTCCTTCAGGCCTTTTCCCCACCTTTCTCCTGACTGGAATGGTTACAAGCTGCCCACATGCACCTTTTCCTATCCCCCCCCCCCCCCGCCCACTTCCCCAAAGTCACCTCCTCTACTTCAACCAACAGCTGCTAGATAGAAGAACTTTACTTCCCATCCTGCACTGATTGATGCTAAAGAAATAAACCTCAGATACACTTCTGATGAGAAGTCTCGGAGATGAATAAGGCGGAGCTACTTCAGTTTAACAGAGTCCTTTGAGACACACATGGCATTACTTGAAAGGACAGTATTAGGGGGAATGCTTTATCTTTTTGTGTATCTGTATACAAAAACACTTCTGAAATCACTGAGGTCAAGCACTGTCAATATAAATTTATTGACTTCTAAATCACAATGTTACAAAATAAAATTTGGGACAACTGCTTTATAAGGCAGTACTGATGTCTACTGAGAAGACATTTTTTTGAAAACACATGAGACTTCCTAAACATAATTAAGTGTACATAGTAACAATACGTTTAACAATAAACAACTGTATTTTGTTAAAGTAGCAGATAAAATAATACTTACTATAGAATACATTTTCTGGATTATTTTAAAAATCAGGGGAGTAGGTAGCATTTTTCTGTAAGTCATATTTACAAGGCAGGCTGTAAAGTCAGATCTGGTTCAAACTGTGGCATGTCACTTACTAGTTGTGTCCCTTGGATGATTTGCCATGTTTGAAGATAGTATCACCTTCCATCTTCCTTTTAAGATGGTTACATAACTTAAGATATGATAGCAAATGCCTGACACATAATTTCAACAAAAGTTAGACTAGGATTAGCACCTTTCAAGTGAAAGTCCTGCTTTGTCAATTTCAGTGACAGGTACAACTCAAGAAGATCTTGATCAAATCTGTTCACAGATAATTTTTAAACAAATTTTCTTCAGTTATATATACCTAGGATCTTAACATCTTAGTATAAATAAAAACCAATATATTCATTCAGACATTAAAAGATACTGCTTTTCTAATAATCAAAAATTAAAAATTGCATAAATAAAGCATACATACCACAGATACATTCAGGGATCCCATACTTGTCACAGAGCCAAAATGGCATATTACTGTTGACTTCTTACAAGGCATAAGTTCCTGAACAATCCTGGGACCTGAAGCTACTTTAATATCTGTAAGAGCTTTAGCCCAGGCCGATGTACTCACCAACCACAAAAAAGTGGCAACAACAGTGACAATAAAGTCCTGAAAGAAAAATAGTAATAACGAAGTTGATTTAGAAATATTAAATTTTAAATCCACAATGAAGTAACAGATAACATTTAACCTTATGGTACTAAGAAATAACCTTCATACTTTATTAAAAAGGTCACACTCAGCATAGTACCTGCGATACAAGAGTTAGTAAGATTTGTTTCCTCTGAAGTCTTATGATTTTTACAGTAGAAACCAAAGTGTCCCACAGCTCTCACCATACACTTACCCAAGTCAGCTGCTTCCAGAAGCATCCCTTAGATCTGCCATCAGCAATAGCTGTGTTTCCATACGCACACACCCGCCCCTACCAGCACCGCTCTCCTGCTCACTCTGGCATCCCACCTCCCAGTCTCCACAGTCTTGACCTACTGAGACCCACAGTCTGACTCCATCACCTCTTTAATGTCTCAACTTCACTCATGTCCTCATGTCCCTTAATTTATATTTTAGGGTTATTTATCCCTTGCATACATTCTCTATGCCCTATGTTTCTCCTGTTTCCTCATTCTGTTCTGGTAAAATCCTAATTTTAATTAAATCGAATTCTCTATGAGATGGGCAATGAGAGGATGAAAAGACAATCAGGTTTTTAAAAAATACATGGCTATGAATTTTAAGAAGCTTCAGTTTTTTTTTGGTACTGGAGATCGAACTCAACCTCAACCTCGCAATTGCTGGATAAGTGTTTATGCAGCTAAACTAAATCCCCAGCCCCATGGACTATGAATTTTAAGAATGCTTACTATATAAAGACAAAAACCCAAACCAAAACAAAAAACCCAAACCCAAAACCAAACAAACAAAAGCCAAAAACTGTTCCAAGACACTTTCTTACTAGTAATGTTCTACTAAATTCTTCGCTATTATATTTCCAAAAGTAAACTGAAAAGTTTTAATATCTGGGATAGTTGCTTATTAATCCAAGAAGATGAAAAAAGGTAAAATTATTCTCCTTAATCTTCTTTGCTAGGAAAACAAAAATTTTGCCCAGTAATACTGATGAAAATGATCTAAATAATACTTTAAATATCCTTCTGTATAAGTTATAATACCTTGTGTGATAGCTGGGAAATTCAATGACCAAAATGGGAATAATATAAAAATTATAGATTTACTACTCCTCTAAGCAAGTGCGTATACTTGTGGCTCATTTCTGCAGCAAAAATCTAAATCCAGACAATTTTAACATTGAAGTATTTGGTTTTTAAAGATGGATTAGATTTTAATTATTTGCCAATCACCTTTAATAAGCCATTCATTCAGACAGGCATCAAGAATCTCTCATGAGATGTAGAAGATATGCCATATAACTTGCCCACTTGGCCAAGACAGCACTGAATACCTTGTGACTAGCCCCAAAGCAAACAACACTTGTACAAACAGGCAGTTATCTGCAGTTTGCATTTGAGCTCTTCTTAGCTGACATTCTCGGACCTGTGGGACCACTGTGCTGTAGTATGTTGTACCTTCTGCTGCATATAAATGTTTTCTATGTTTGTTCTAGAAACAGAAAGTCTTTTGTAAGTAATATAAGGTGATCATACATTAAACAAGTCTTTAGGCTAAACGTGCCTCTGACAAATTTTATGTCAAATTCCTTGAATTTTCATGTATTCCTTTCACATTTCTTACTAAAATGTACACTGTTCTCTCTCTTTCCCTTTCCTACTATATCCTTCAAGTCTACTTTGTTAATAGCTACGGCATGACCTCTTTACATGCCAAAAGCAGGAAATTCTCTGAAAATGATACCCAAAATAAAAAGAGGGTAGAGGAAAGTGAGGTATTATTGTGGTTTCTGTAGACTATCTGTCCTCTTCAGGACTGCAGCCACAGTGCAATCTAAGTGAACAGTGTCAGCCCTGTTTCTCCCAGTAAGATAGGATATGATTCAAAACAGACTTTTAGAATTGGAGATACCTGCCTATTTTGTTTGGTTTCATTTTCTGGTATTCCTGACTATACACTGCTTAGAACCCTTAGACATCTGCTACTTAACATGTACACACAAAGTACTATATTTACTTAAAAGAGAACTAAAGTAGATTTAAAATTTCACAGTTGACTGGGATCTCATCCTATTGAAAAGCTTTTGCACAGCAAGAGTGATGAGACAACCCACAATGTGGGACAAAATGTTTGCCAGCTGTTCCTCAAACAAAGGATTACTACAAGAACATACAAAGAACTAAAAAAAAAAAAAAAAAAATCAGTCCTCCCAAATTTAAAGACCCAATCCAAAAATGGGCATCTGAGATGAATACACCCTTCTCACATGAAGAAATTATGAACAGCAAATAAATATGTGAAAAAATGTTTAACATCACTGGTCATTTGACAGATGCAAATTAAAGCAACACTGAGATTCCACATCACCCTGGAAAGAATGGCTAGAAATCAGCCAATAACAAATACAGGAGGGGGCTATTGGGAAAAAGGAACCCTTCTTCACTGCTGGTGGGAGTGTAGACTGGTGCAAGTACTATGGAAATCAGTGAAGATTCCTCAAAAACCTAGGACTAGAGTTCCCACTGGACACAGCTATTCCCCTTCTGGGTAGCTCCCCAAAGGAATTAAAAAACATCATACCATAGTGACACATGTGCACTCATGTTTATAGCAGCACAATTTATAATAGCTAGATTTTGGAAATAACCTATATGCCCATCGAATAAGGAATGGGTAAAAAAAGATTTGGTATTTTTATACAATGTGGAGTACTACTCGTCATAGAGAAGGATAAACTGGAGACTTTTATGGGTAAATGGTTTAACTTGATACCACATTCATAAGTGAAATAAATCAGACATACATGTGAAAGTATCATGTTATCTCACTAGTGTGACCAAGTGAAAGAAACAATATGTGTATATGTATACATATATACATATATAAAAAAGACACTTAAGATAGTTAAACTATCTGATTTCTCTGAGTTCACTGAAGAGAAAGATTTGCACTGGTATTATTTGGACAATTGAATGCAGATGTCCTGTGTTCTGGGTGAATGATTTGGGGATAACAATGCGCAATGTATGTTATTGTTGCCCTGATTCACGTGTTTTGAAAATTTTTTTTTCCTCTTTGAAGTAAAATGTATTTGGAAAAAAGATAAAAATATAAAACAAACAAACAAAACGCAAAATGAAATTTAAAAAAAAATTCATAGTTGAAAGACTCCTGGAAATACAGAATTAAGAATACTGCTGAAAAAGTGTATTTTTGTTAATAAGCAGTACCCCAAAATTGATGTTATATTTGGCTATATTTAAAAATTCTTTGGCTGTATGAAAAAATCTTTTTTTTAAGTATCTCTGAAAAACCCTTTTTATTTATATGGTTAAATTAAAAGCAGAATTCGAAATTTAAACAAGAAGCATCCATTAAATGTTATAACAAAAATATTTATGGAAGCAACTCTAGAATCTCTTTTTATGATCACTGACCATTCTTATATGGAAAATTATTTTAACTTCCAGCATGATGCAACTACATCAGTTTTATAGTTTTAACAGAGAGAAACTCTCTCTAAAACTGATGCTTTAAAAAGTTAATTAAACAAAGTTTTATTTAAAGTTTTCCATTACTGACAAGGCAAGATACAGCTAAAGAATTTTAACAAGATATAATTATACGTATGATCATGAGAATCCCTTTTAAAAACAAAGCTTGAGAAGTCTAAAGATAATACAGTCATAAAACATTCTTATTGAATAAGCACTGCAAATTAAAATAACTTATGTCCACCTTTTTGAAAGTTATCTAGCAATCAAGCACTATTTTAGGAAACCATCTGGTTTTCTTGTCTTTTTTTGTCTTATGGCTTTCAAGACCTAAGAAACAGAATAAACCTGCACTATAAAGGACTATTTTATTCCTTACTTACCCTTCGCATTCTTATAATCCAGGCAGCAAAAATCAAAAATAAATAAATAAGACTTTAATAATTTCTTCATAGACAGCTTTTCTTTTAAGTTTTGTACAAATAATTAGCAGATATTGGTGTAACTATTATCACAAAAATACCTCTACTCCCTTCCAGTTAATATGGACTTGGAAGCTATTCTTTTATCGTGAAGATTTGGTTACAAGCATGATTTACGGTTGGATTTGCCACTGATAGGAACAGTCCCTGAATCTTAAACTAATATAAAAGTAATTTGGGTCACATTTAAATTAAGTAGTTTCAGCAAGAAAGCTGCCATGGCCAATGTCAAAAAGATGAGTATGCTATGCTCCCAAAACACTTTTTTAAACAACAGAAGCGAGTTAGATTTGATCTGTAGGTCCTGATCTGCTAATCCTTGATATAGACCATTAAGCTCAATAAAATATTGGAAAGGCATAAAGAGGCCTTGGAGGAAAGATAAAGAAGGTCAAGAGTAGGAACATTACTGATATGATCTGCAATTCTTCAAATTAAAGACATTAATTTCTACTTTTCTATTTGTGATCTAATATGCTTTATCACTTGTGAGTTTTTCCAGGCCAAAATAACGTTAAAAATCTTTCTCTGGAATAATCAATAAGCTTACAGAATTGGGTTAAACGTAATAAAGAAAACTCAACTTTGCAATAAATAAAACATATTAAACTACACTTGTGTCAAAAATTTTAATTTCTAGTCAAAATATCTGCATTTAGCTTCCAGTGTAACTTATATAAATTACTTTCATATAAAAAGAAATGAAAGTGTCTACTCACAATCATGGGAAGTTTATGACTATCCCGGTACAGGTTCGTGTAACCAACATAGAGCAGAAGGGCGGCAATGCAGTACAAGAACACAAAGACTGCAAATGTAACATAGAATTGCGCAGAAGAGGAGTAATCGCCTATGAGGACTTGGCTTTTCCAATCCACATCACACACATTTAAAGATGACTGAAACGATGCCTGATTTAACCTATTAAAAAAAGGTTCAAATAAATGTATGACTTCCTGGGCTCTCCAACAGATACAGAAATATGAAGCAGAATACTGAAATGACATTTCAAAATATATTCCCTAAGTATACTAAAAACATTTCCTTTTTTCAAAAAACTGGGAATTAAAATATTTACGTAAAATTTTCACAATACATATAACAAGTTGTGTCTGGTAACTGGATTATGATAGATTAAATACAGACTGAATTATACACTTTCACATTTAGATGCTACCTTTCTGCAGTTAAAAAACTAGCAGATTAGGTGGGATTATACCAAGTATTTTACAGTTTGAGACACATTCTATCCTAGAATGCAGTTTGTGTGATTAGCCCTAGGAAAGCCAACTATAAGGGTTCACTTTTTAGAACTTAGATTAGTTGTTATCTGAAAAATCACACTGCTTTTCACTTTCCCTATCCATAAATTACAAAGACACTTATCTCTAAATATGCTAGTAACAGATTTTACAATTATACACAAGCAATAGCACATAGCTTTGATGATTAGTTAGCACTTAGAATCTGACATAATATTTTAACCATTTGACATATATAAGGCTTTAACTAATCATTAAAATATCTTTAAAAAGTAACATTTTCAACTTATTGTACAGAAAAATTAAGTCTTAGGTCAGACAAGTTAAATGAAGAAGATTCATATGCCAGCTTAACCAAAGAAAGTATCAGTAGACTTTCCAATAAATATTGCAGTCACACAGAAAACTTCAAAAGCCAAATGTTCATTCTTATTTAAGAATAAAAGCTGGGATTGATGGTTTATGTTTATAATCTCAGCACTTGGGAAGCTGAGGCAGGAGGATCACCAAGAGTTCAAGGCTAGCCTCGGTTGCATGGTGAGGTCCAGGCCAGCCTCAACTACATACTGACACTTTGTTTCCAAAAACTAAAACAGAAAACAAAATAAAAAATTAAGAAAATATGGTTTTGTGTTAAGGAAAACAGGAATTCTTCACTTCATATAAATACACAGCTTAAAAACTCAATAAAGGACACTATTTAGTAATTGTAAAAATACAAGTGATCTAGACTTTTACTTCTATATATTAGGGTTTTCCTCATGAAGGCGACAGGCTAGCCTTTATTTTTTAATTTCCAATTCACCCTGGGATGATAAGGCCATGTCACATTGCTGTCAAAGTTAGATATACTTATTCTTGCCGGCTGTATTTATTTCATCACAGACCAGGGAAAATTTGCACATTGGTACTGGTCTGTGTTCCATGGTTTGAGTAGCAAAAATCACAACTGAGCATGAAATCAAAAATTTTCTAACATCCTCTGCACAATCAATAAATTGTTGAAAATTTTAACCATTCACTATGAAAGTAAAAAGAATTGTTAAATTATAAAAACAAACAACTCACTCACCTGAATGGATAACCAAAAGTAGCTGTAACAGTTTTATTCTCAGCCCCTGGAGGACAACTCACTAGAATTTCTGTTTTGCCCTTAAAACCTCCACAGGTAGCAAAAGAGAAAATGGCACCAATCTGCACAAAGTATGGGAAAAAAGGGAAGAGAAAGCAGCATTACTGTATTCAAAACAAAGGTCATTAAAATAGTTAAGTACAGTGACTATCAAAAACTGGCTCAACATTCTACAAACTGTTAACCATAAACTAAAAGTAAAGAGTAAAAAATATTTAAAAATTTATTTGAAAGTCTCAACAAATGTGATTTATTTTTCCTAGACTGTAACACAGAAAGTTGCATTCTAGTCCACATAACATTTTCTCATCCTTGCATGGATCTACTAGAGAATAGTATGCCATTCAGAGGAGACTCACTTCATGAGTTTGTGAAGCCTCACTTTCTGTGGACTTCCAATTGCCAAAAGGTAACAGGAGAATTTTTTTCTTGATTATGCACATGCTTAAAAGAATTATGATCTCTCAAATGCTATTTATAACAGGGAGGAAAAAAAAATCAAAAACCCAGGAGCACCCTAAATGTCGACAGGGAAACAAACAATAATTCATCCATATAAAGGACACCAAAAAGATGTAAAAAGTCAGGGGGTTATTTAATACAGAAAAATGTTACCCATGAATAAAGTCTGCTTAAACAATGTACCATATGTGTTCTACATCTATGCATACACGGAAAGGTCATGCATTAAAAATTTTAACAGTGGTCACCTCTTGAAGCAACAGAAGATAAAGGATGCAATTCCTTTTCTATTTGTCTTCTAAACAAAATAAAAAACCCAGATACTTTATAAACCTGTGAATGAGGACTCAAATACTATGTAATAGCTATAACTAGGACTCTCTCTAATATTTATAATGTAACGAGGACCTGACCCATTAGCAAATGCTAACGGTTCTTTTCAAAATATATTTGGAATATGACCACCACATCCTGATCTAACCTACCACTTCTTGCCTGAATTTTGCAACAGGCTTCTAAATGATTTTCCTGCTTCTGTCCTTGCTCCAATTTCAGTCCATTATCAGCACAACAGATCAGGTTATCTTTTAAAAACTAATTCTAGAAAACTTCATCTTCAAAGCCCTGCAATGGTTTTTGAAATTTCTCAATAAAAATGAAAGTTCATATAAAATCCTTTCTTCTGTTAGTATTTTGGACCTCACTTTTTTCGTTTGTCTCATCTTTCTACACAAAATTGTCTGCCTGTTACTTCTTGACTTTCTCCACTAGGGCCTTTCTAATGACTCTTTCCTTGGAGTACATGATTTAATACCTCAACTCACTGCTCCCTACTCCAAAATGCAAGGAACTGAACCCACACTCCAAGGTGGGAATTCCATCTGCACACTGCTCTATTTCACTTCCATCATAATTTTTTCATTGCCCGACATCATGCTTGTTTCTTTCCCTAGAATGGAAACTTGAAGAGGTCAGGAACTGTTTGCTCGTGGTTACACCCCTGGTAAGTAGCAGATAAGATTCAATGCAAAGTGCTGCCTTACCAAAGAAGGCCAGCTGATTAGGGACTGAACCTCTTAAGTCATAAGCCAAAATAAATTTTTCTCACTGTTAAAAAAATCAATAATCTCAGGTATTCTGTTGTAGTAATAAAAAGCTAACACATTTAATATTAGTGCCTCTAGTAAATTACTCCAGAATCTTGAGTCATATGCCATAATCAAAAACATAACTATCAAGGTAGTTTTTCCCCATAAGGAAGAAAGATGTGAAAAAAGATCTGGTTACAGATATGAGTCTGAGGTGATGTCCAACAAATACTCTGGGGTCTTCTGTCAAGAATCCATAGGTAAAGACAGAAAACTGGAGCCTCTCAGAGTAAACATGCATGAAAACAAAATGCTAGGAAACAAGTATTGGCCGGAAACTCACATTTGGGCTACGAAACAAACAAACAAACAAATGAGATACACAAATGAACTATAAAACAAAATAGGCCAGGAAAGGATTAGTGTGTATAGAGAAATTGTATCTAACAGGGCTGGCATTGTAGGTCACTAAGGAAAGGCATATGGTGATGTTAAAGACATGTTCACAAACTCTAAGACTCTTCTCAAGACATGGAGTGTAATTTCCTTTATGTGTGGAATAGACCTAGTGCCTTGCCTTTGGAAGAGAATATGGTAGAAGAAATGAGTATCTTCTAATATGAAACATAAAGACTCCAACTTGTCTCCCTTTTTCACGTCCCACGTACTCACTGTCTGAGAGAAGCCAGCTGCCATGCTGGAAAGATACTCAATCGACCTACTGAGAGATCCAGGAGCCATGCAGCCAAGGACCACCCCATGACTATGCTTGGCAGTGCAGCCTCTGGCTTGCCAAAGTGAGTGAGATGCAGGCCTGGTGATGACTTCGAGGATGGTCAGCAGCTCAACAGCAACTTCAAAGGAAACCACACTGTTACGCCACTCCCAGATTCCACCTGACAGAAACCCAGATGATAAATGTCTTGTTTTAAGTTGCTCAGCGAGGACAATTTACTGCACCATAGTAGACAGTGAATACAGAGAGGGGCTGTTTAACAAATGTAACACTTAAGTGGAAAAAGTAAGTCTTTAAAAAGGAAAATCTGCTGGGCACGGTGGTGCATGTCTATAATCCCAACACTTGGAAGGCTGAGGCAGGGGTACTGCTGCAAGTTTGAGGCCAATATGGGCTACCAAGTGAGACCCTGTCAACAAGACAAAACAAAAAACAGGAAAATCTGTGATCAAATAGATAAAAACACTAACACAAGAGATTAATTTCAACTATAGAAAAAATACTTAAAATCAAAAGTCAGGTTTTGAATGTAAAACAAGCTACAAACTAGGAGAAAATTATTTGTAGTAAGCATAATATTGCAAGAATCTAGCGGTCTACAGATCTATGAGAATCCCTTCCTCATGTGTGCCTATAAGAGATACGTACAGTTGGGGGCTGGGGATTTAGCTCAGCGGCATAAGCGCCTGCCTTGCAAGCAGGCAGTCATGAGTTCAATCCCCAGTACCGGTAAAAATGAAAAAGACAAAAAAAAAAAAAAAAAAAAAAAAAGAGATATGTACATTATATAAATGTTTACAGTGACAGTGTTTAGAGTATCAAAGTGGGATGGGGAAAAGCAACAGGAAAATTGGTAAGACAGCAGTATATTCTTGCAATGGGAAGTTATACAGTAAAACATATCTAGGAACTATAGCTGCTCATGTCAATACAGGTGAATCCTAGAAACTGAATAGAAACACTGTGTAAGACTACATAAAAAACACTTTTTAAAAGCACTGTCTACATTTCTTCTAATTTTTGTTCACACCATCTACAGTGTGGGCTCTGAAGCTGCAGTATCCAATAAAGTGGTCATCAGTTATTTGTGGCTACTCAACACTTTAAATGTGCCTAGTATAAATTGTGATGTACCCTAAGTGTAAAATACACCCTAGATTTTGAAGATTTAGTATGAAAAAGGTAAAATGCCTTTTAAATAATTTTTACATTACTTGCTGAAATAATATACTTTTTCAAGTAAAATATATTAAAATTAATTTCACCCATGTGTGGCTAATAGAACACTTAAAATTACTATGTGAGCCTGGGATTTAGCTCAGCAGTGTGAGCGCTGCCTGGCAAGCACTACGTCATGAGTTCAATCCCCAGTACCAAAAAAAAAAAAAAAAAAAAAATTTATTATGTGGCTTGAATTTTTAAAAATTTATGTTGTATTTTTATTGGACAAAGGTACTTAAGAGTGATGGGACACTGATGTGAAATAAAAGCTGGCTGTGGCGTGCATGTATAATCCCAGCACTTTTGGAGCTGAGGCAGGAGGACTGCCACGAGTTCACGACAAGCCTGGGTTACACAGTGAGCTCAAGGTCAGCCTAAGCTACACAGCTGAGACCCTGTCTCAAAACACCTGGATTATGTCTTTCCTGTTTAACTAGATTTCCTCACCGGTTTTACAGTTCTGCACTTTTTTTTTTAAAGCCCAGACTTCGACTTGGTACAAATCACATGGCTGATCTAGCTTTAACTTTGTTTTCTGGCTGGGCATGCCTGTACTCTAATTAGCCTTACCTAACTCCTTGTGGTAGACCTCATTATTCTTCTGGGCTGCCTAGACAGTCACTTTATTACGTATTAAACTTTACTACTGGCATTTTCATGTATCTTGCTATATATAACACAAAAAACAAGCTTATGGATTAATTAAACAAACCAGTGAATAAATGGGATACTGTACTGTACTATCAGTGATGCTTTTAAGACAATAATCTCTACTACTCCCGTGCCACACTGCCATGTCTTTATAACCATCTTGCCTGAGATTTTCACTGTGTACCTGGCAGAATACCAGGCACGTAACAAATACCTGCTTAATTCAGAAAAAATTTAAATTTCTAAAACTTAGAAATAAAATAGTATTTTGAGTCCTTTTTTTTTTTTTTTGGTCTTTTTCGTTTTTATCGGTACCAGGGATCGAACTCATGACTGCCTGCTTGAAAGGCAGGCGCTTATGCCACTAAGCTAAATCCCCAGCTCCCTAGTATTTTGAGTCTTATATAACCATTACTTCAAAGCTGTTTTTTCATAGCTGGGCATGGTGACAGTTGGCTGTAATCTCAGCATTAGGAGGCAGAGGCAGGATGATCCCTACAAGTTTGAGGCCAGCCTGGAAGTGGGATTATGTCTCAAAAGAAAAAACAAAACCAAAAAACAAGCTTTTTGTTACAAAGAAAAGTATCATGTTAGCAATTCTGGTCTTCATCTTTTCTTACAGAAAAAAGGGACAAACTATAATTTTATATTAAATGAAGCACAAAATAATTTTAGAATTTACAGTTCAACCATGTCCCATCTCCAAATACCCTGTAGCTACTCTGACACAGGTTGGAGGTTATCATCTACTGGCATAGATAGAAAACACTCACATGTCTACTTATATGTACTGGTAGATTTAAATATAGAATTAAAGAAAAAAACATACTCATTGCCTATGAGTATGTTTGTGTAGTCTTTCCAGTATTTACCTTTTAAAACATGAACTTATTGCCAACCTTTTTATATCAGGATACAGTACTGTGCTTAAAAACGTGTTTCTTGTGTATATTTGGGAAAACCGAAGACACAGCAATATCAGACCCACATTCTCATAAAGCTATCAGCTGAGACAAGTGATACATGCCACTCAAGACAAGAAATGTCCTTCAGACTGCTTTCCTCTACTGTTGCGCTCTCCAGACGGCAGGTTACTCAGTAGTAATCAGTAAGGTGCTCTTGTTTTCCTTCTGGACAGCTCCTTTCATTCATTTACTTTACAAGGTGGTTCTACCAGTACTACTTCCTTTGGACTACACAGGAAGTCTGTATCTCAAAAACAAAACATTCCTCAAAGAAACTATAGATTGACTATAATATTAAAAAAAGAATAGAATCCACATTACAATGTAAAAACAGCTTCTGCTTAATCAAATTATACTATAATTAGAAATTACCACAATAGTATCTAAAATTGGATTTTTAAAATATGAATGAATTTTACTCTGAGCATACAATTTGTTTAAGGTATTAACATATAAAATATGCATCTAAGTTATAGACGCAAATTAGGACGTTGGGCAACAAATGTAGACAGGAATTTATGACAAAAAGACTAGAGAGCATGAGATTTCCAGTGAGCTATCCATCCTTCAGCCAGTCCCAGTCTAACTCCTCTTTCTAGGCCCTGCTCATTCACAGGGTTCTACTGAGGAACACATTAAGCTGAAGTTACCAACTTACACTTCCTTCAGTCCAATGTTTAGTTTACGAAAACAATGTGATTGAGCCAGGCATGGTGGAGCATACCCTTTAATCCCAGCACTCTGGGAGGCTGAAGCAGGAGAATTACAAATTCCAGGTTGGGCCAGGCAACTTGGCCACCTAGTAAGACCCTTTGTCAAAATGGGAACAAAAGGAAAAAAGGTTGGGGACACAGCTCAGTGAAAAGGACCTAGTTCAATTCTCAGTAACACACACACACATGCACACGCACACACAAATGAAATCTTTAGAAGATTATATATCCTATTTTTACTGTTAAATCAAATGATCATTTAGTACTTAAGATGAACTATGACATATGACAGTGTTTGTCTTTTCAGTCATAAGATTAGATGCCCAGAGCCAAGGAACTGATTTTTTTTTTTTTATCGGTACCGGGGATCAAACCCACGACCGCCTGCTTGCAAGGCAGGTGCTTATGCCTCTGAGCTAAATCCCCAGCCCCAAGGAACTGATTTTTATGGATCAACTCTGAAGCCTTTACTAAAGGTACGAATTTAAAAATGTTTTATTATTGCCGTGCTATTTCAGTCCATTCCCACTTTGCAATGAGCAGTGTGTCACTTACCACATGCTTGTTTTACTCTCTTCCCTTTGCCTCTCACAGTCGTAGAGTCTGCTAGGCCTGTTCTATGACCCTCAAGAATTTAGATTTCAAAAAGTAAACTTTAACGTTTCTGCTGAAATAGTTTTTCTAACTCTTAATCATTATACATTCAAAACACCTTTATGTCACCTTTATTCTTAGACTTAAGCTGTGTGAAACTGTAAATCTCCAAAGAACCTAAATATATTTATTTTAAAATATTTTTCAGGCTGTTGTTGTCAAGCTGGCTGGCTGCCTTGAAGTGTGCCTGTCACTTCATGGAAAACTGATAGTATTTGTCACAACTGTTAAACTTTGAGTTTTTACATAAAATTTAGTTTCCTTCTTGTGTTTTAGGGCATTTGATACAGGCTCAACTTATTATTTCCTCTCTTTCCATTCTTGTATAGTAGTTGGGACAATCATTTCTGCTAGGGCTTGAATTTCCCAGTTTACCACATCTTCTGATGAGAACTCCCATATCACCAACACATGCAAATATCCAAGTTATGGTAAGCTGTAAATTCAGATAGTAGGTAGACAGCCTTCCCTATTGTTTTGGATTCTCATTAATGTCTCCCTTATTTTAAAACAGCAATTCTCAATCTACAGACTCCCTGGAGCTCCCCACACTGAAACCCACAAAAGTAAAACATTTGCATAAGAATACTAAGGCGTTATTTACTTTACATTGTGTTGACATTTGCCTTGACCAAGCAAATGCATTGGAGTATAAAACTGCTAAGCCTCAGTGATAATCAGCATACAGTACCAAACTGTATTTCACTGCTACACACTAGCAGTTAAAAAAAAAAAAAAAAAAAGATTTACTTAAGAATATCTTTGATGAAGCAGTGAAATTATTTTTTTATTAAATCTGATATGCCTAACATTTTATGTGATGAAATGGACTTTTGCTGCATACAAATTCAATGGTTGTCTCCACAGAAAGCAGTCAAGTGATTGAGTTGTAAGCCAAATTATTCACTTTTTTATACCACTAAATGCTCTCCCATCTTCACAAATTGTGGATACACTCTGTCTTCATTACCTTACCAGATAATTCACTCAGCTTAAGTCAGTGTGGCTTTTAATTTGACTGGATTGTAGAATTTCTCTTGCTAAAGCCAATAAGAAGAGACTCCTGACTACCAAAAACCAAGGCAAACATTTAGTCTTTATTTGGTTTAATTTGTCCCTTGCTCCTAACATCACTAGTACTCTTTCTTTGAAACTCTAATAGTGCTGCCAAGATGGTACTGCTCTCCATCTTCTAGTGACTCCTTCTTTTCTTTGATGGCAGATCTACATGCTGAAATCTCTAGGTCATACCAGTATTTTAAACTCAGGGCTCACATACACAATTGGGCATAGGGTAACACGGTTTTATGATCTTAAAGATCTTTTTACAGCCTTACTGACCTTGCACTAATATTTCTTCCTCTTTCGCTGAATGCCCTACCTTGAACATCGAGGCCACTACCAACCCAAGCCAGAAATATGGCAGTCATCTTAAAGGGTCCTCCTCTTTACTTTCTAAATATATTCTAATTTCTAAACCTATCTTCACTGCAACTAATTTTAAGCCCTCATAATTTCTCATGCAGTGTGTCTCTCTCCTCCAGTTCTGAGCTTTCCAATCCATTGTCTATACTGCTAACAAAATTTAAAGTCTAAAAGTGTTATTAAAGGACTGGGGATAGAGCTCACCAGCATGAGCACCTGCCTGGCAAGCGCAAGATCCTGAGTTTGATTCCCAGTACAAAAAAACAGGTAATACTGTATTAGTTACCTTATTCAGTAGGATTCTCAGTTTAAGTGAAAGCTATCCAGTAAGCATCCTATGTTTTGTACCACAATATCACACAGGCATTTTCCTAAGGAAAGGGTCCAGGTTTCTCAAGATTAACCCCAAAAGTAACAAGCCTCCAGGAACCTGTCAGAATCATCTCAAATCACACCCTTTCCCCCAGTATGTATAGGTTCCAGCCAACTCCCAGTTACTTTCAGTTCGCTTATGGGGTTGCACTGCTTCAACTTTTCACCCCATTGAACATCAGAGGCCCCTTCCTGGGAAGCAATGCCCAACTGCTCCCCAAGTGAAAAAGTACTCCATCCTACCAGTGTTTCTTCATTTGTTTATCTCCCTAGTTTATCTCTTCTATACTTTGAGACACCTTCATTATAGGATTCTCACTTGTAATTTTCATATCCTTCATCCTCACCAAGTCATGAGGAAAAGATCATTTTATCCATGTTTGTATGCTATTGTTTGGCACCGTGCTGGTACACAAAACCGTCAAATGTTAACAACATACAGTTTTATCACAAAATTATTTTCTGCATAATCTAAAATGGAAAATATTTAAGAAGCTTACAGATTTGCTTCCAAATACTTCAGAAAACTAATGAGCCTATCACTAGCACTTCAAAGAAAAAGTCCATAATTTTTAAAAACTGACAACACACACACAAATATAAACTGTCTCTGCCTTCGAGTAAAAATCTAAACTATAAATTATAATCTTCAATGAAACAAAAGCAGTATACTACATCGAAGGCATCTTCTCAATCTTCGTGTGTGAGTGGTGCTGGGAATGGAACTCAAGGCCTCACACAGGCTAGAGCACTCTCTATAAAAGCCGTACATAGCCCCAGCCTCCTAATCTTTATTCCATTAACCCAGTTAAATAATGTAATCTCTCTTGCAATTTGTAATTTTTGTACGTACAAATAATGTCCTTTCTACTTGAATCTAGACCCAGGTTTGCAAAACAAACGCACAAAAAACCAAAACAAATACCCCCCAACCCAAAACATAAATCCAAAGTAAATCCCCCCCACCCCGCCAGAAACTCATGTCTTTAAAGTGGCCATTTGTGTGAAATAAGCACCATTCCGATTTTCAGAAAAGCAGCAAAACTTTGGTGATGTGTATGCAGGAAATCAGAGACTAGTGTATGTACTCATCAGAGAATTTTGAGTTTCTTCTATTTTTAAAAAACATTCTAGTAGAAAAATAGAAGTTTCTACTTTCTTTATTACTTTATTATTAAAACAAAGGAGTTACGGATGTACATGTTGCTGGCTATAAACACAATCTGCCTGCGCGCTGGACAGACGCCAGCTTTCTATTAATAAGGCCCTGAAAATCAGCACTGCAAACCTTCAGCGCCTGGTAAATAGTTACTAACTCCTCCAAGCAGATTGATCATTACCATGGTCAAATTAATAAGTTTCCTTTAATGTTAATGATTGTGAGTGTTTCACGAATGGACTAATGACTTCCCAAACAGGATGTTGCTTGCAAAGACCTAACACAAACTAGAAGTCCGTCCTGACATACTGGAAAATGAACCGAATTCCCTCGATGCGTTTTCTGCAAAGTCCTTTTCCCCTGCTTTCCTGACTCAGAGTTTCACTATTTTTAACAAGAGCCGGCCTTAAAAGTAAATTCTAGGCGCAATGATCGCTCGCCCGATCCGGTGGACGGGGGGGAGCCGGCGCAGGCGGCCGCGGACTTCGATTGGCCCGCAGCAGGAAGGAAGTCCGCTCCCGCTCCGCGGGCGGCGGCGGGGCTGGGAGAACCGTGAGCCCCCGCCCCCAGGCCTGAGGCGCGCTCCGGCGACTGGGCCGCCCCGCCGTGCCCCGCGTCCCGCCGCGCCGCGCCGGCCGCACTCACCCACTCTAGGACCTTGATGAAGCCCAGCGGCTCCTTGAGCGGGACCAGGTTGAGCTGGAAGGCGGACATCCTCTGAGGGAAGGAGGGGAGAGAGTGAGGACAGCGGGGCGGAGGAGGAGGGGACCCGCGACACCCGAGCGGCGAGCCGGCGAAGACAGAAAGGCGGGGCGGGCGGGCTGGGCTCAGAGGCGGGAGGGGCCGGGCGCGGCGGTTGAGCCGCGGGGCGAAGCGCTTGGGGCGGAGTCCAAAAGGGTTTGGTGAAGAGGAGAGGACAGGCCGAGACTAGGAAGGGAAGGCTCCGCCCCTGGCCGCACCTGCCCGAGCCTGCTGATCCACTGACGAACCACGTAAAGGCTGGACGCCATACTGCGTGCGTCACGCCCCCCTTCTGAAGCCCGGCCCCTGGCGTTCGGTCGCTTTCTGCGCACGCGTACTCTCAGGTCGTCGCTCCGTTTCCGGTACTTTCCCCGCCCTTGGCATCTGCGCATGCGTACTCGGGCCGGTGCGCACCTGCAGCCCTTGCCGCCCTACGCGGGGCGAAGCTCTTCTGCCAGACCCAGCTCGTGCTTGCAGTGCCTAGCTTCTAGATGAATTCACGCGGTGTTGATACAGATGAAGCGTTTCAAAGCTTGTGTTAAGGACTTTTATTAAAATGGTGAAAAACTATTGCAAAACAACGGTCTTCTGGCGACCTGCTGTTGGTAGGGTGCCTCGGAAACGTGCCTTATCCAACATTCCTGCAGAGATTACGCTTATTCTCAGTTATTGGAGCCAGGGTTGAAAGAGGAAGTCATGCCTATTAGCAGAAGTCCTGGCTGGCTAGGCTTTCGTGACTGACCTATCCAGTGCTCCTTCCTTGGGAGCTTCCTGCAGAAGGCAACTTGCTCAAGAGCCACCTAGGTGACACCTCCTTCCTGGTGGCGGGCTCGAGCTGGTGACCTGTCGTCTGGTGTTTTAGTACCTGGCATGTGCCTGGAGAGCTGGAACAGTGTTCTGTTTGTGAGTGTGGTAAGATGGTTATCATGAAATATCTGGTGAATAAGAATGAAAGGACTTTAGCTCAAGAGGATCCCTGTACAACTTCCAAGTACTTAATTGTACAGTAGTACCTCGGTTCACGAACGCTTCTGTCAGCAATCAGTTTGGTTCAAGAGCAGAAGCGATAGGCAAAGTCTTGCTTCCCTTTGCGAATTCTGCATCAGGTTATGAAAAGATCATGGCTATCTTCTCAGCGTAAACACCAACAGGGCCATCTTCCTGCTCTGCTATACGGTCTTGGCCTCCTCTCCTTAAGATTGTGGTTATAGACAGATGTGTGCACACTTACTGAGAAGCCTTTTGGTGTAGCTTTTAGCACATACAGTACTGTACAGTGTTATTTAACCCAGCATGGCTCCAAACAAAGTGCAGAGCAGTAATGACAGTAACAAGAAAGTCCAGGGCAAGAATGGTAAGAAGAAGGTTTTGAAGAAAATAACCATTGCTTTGAAGAAGGAAATTGTTGAAAAGCATGAGCATGGTATTCGTGTGACTGATTTGGCCTTGGAGTACAAGATGGCGAAGTCCACAATCTCGACTATTTTGAAGAATAGAGATGCTATAAAAGGAGCTAATGTGGCAAAAGGAGTGACGACGTTGACCAAGCAGAGGACACAAGTGCTGGAAGAGGTCGAAAAACTTTTGTTAGTGTGGTTGAATGAGAAACAACTGGCAGGTGATAGTGTTAGTGAAGCTATGATCTGTGAAAAAGCCAGGAAACTGCACAGTGATTTACTGCAAGAAAAACCCTCCACAAGTGCAACAACTGATAAATTTAAAGCCAGTAGAGGGTGGTTTGATAAATTCCGGAAGAGAAGTGGCATTCTCCGTGTGACAAGACATGATGAAGCTTCCAGTTCTGGCAAGGTTGTTGCAGGAGCCTACAAGAAAGAGTTCTCAGAATTCGTAAAGGCAGAAGGATATGTTGCTCAACACGTGTTCAACTGCAATGAAACCAGGCTTTTCAGGAAGAAGATGCCTAACAGAACCTACATCACACAGGAGGAAAAGGCCCTGCCTGGGCACAGTGAGCAGCAGAGGGCGCTTGTTGAGAAATTTTTCACTGAGAAAGAGGAAGAGGAGGATGAAGTTAGCAGTGATATGATAAAATCCATTATGGTAAAATGGAAAGAGTGCCAGGATTTCTTTGAGAAGCACCACCCCAACATAACTATAACGAACAGAGTGTTGAAGCTTATGAACGATAATGTGGTCTCTCATTTCCGGAGAGTTATGCAGCGCAAGAAAAAACAAGTGACATTAGGCAGATTTTTTGTCAAAATCGACCCTGCAGCTAAGAAACAAAGAAGAGAGGAAACCCCTGAAGGAGGTCTACCTGATGTCCTTATGGGAGGAAACTCTCCAAACAGTAACCTCCTTCCTACCTTTCTTCCTGTCCTCCATGCCAAAGGTCTCAAGCAAGGTTAGTGTTTCCTCTTCATATTGTGCTGTACTTTGCTTTATATTTTTGTGGTTAAAAAACACGTATGGTTCAAAATGGTTTAGCCATATTTACATTCCACCTTAGGGGGGAATTTGGTTTGGGTCATGACCAGTTCTATTCATGACCAGAATCTTGGACCGCATTAAGTTCATGAACCAAGGTACTACTGTATATAGTAGGTGCCATTGAGATCATTCCATCAGGGCAGCTGTTCTTGGTTATCTTCTTGATAAAGCAAACCTTCCTTCCGTCCCTTCCTTGCCCGCTTCCTTGCTGGAGATTGAGCCCAAGGCCTCCTGCATGCAAGGCAAGTGCTCTGCTGCTGAGCCGTACCGCCATCCCTACCTTTTCTCTTTTAAGGCCTGTCTCTGTTTGGTTCTCAGAGTGCAATGGGAGTAGGTCCATTTTCTGGTAGACGATGTATTTCTTTTTTTTCCTGGCTCAAATTTTGAAGTTCCCAGCACATTTCCTTGAGATCAGTGAAACCTAGTGGATGAATTCAGGCTCTTGTTTACTAAGCAAGAAGGCATTGTAGATGCCCTTGCACCTAGGTCCTTGTGGGGTGACCGTGCACTGCTCCCAATGCATGTGAGACCAGCATGAGCATAATTCTGTCTTTGAGCTTGATTTCATGCTCTCTTGGTCTCATTCTTTCTCTTTCCCCTGCCCCCCTCCTTTATTTGTATGTCTTTCACTCAATATTTCTCTTTCTTTAACTTCTCTTCCTGTACTCCTATTCTGTTGAGGCCTGTTAGCATAGGCACCTAGGGACAGAGTAATAGATAGGATTATTTAACTTGAGCTTCATATTCAGAAAGATTCAAATTAGACTCAATGTTTTTTTCTAAATGAGATAGACAACAGAAGGATGCATTTTGCAAGTTTAGTTAGTAAGAAATTTAAAGATCCAAAACAAGCAGGGCATGGTGAGCTGGGCTTATGGTCCCAGATATTCTGGAGGCTAAGGCAGATAGATGAGACCTGTGTAGTGAAATCCTGTCTCTTAAAAAAAAAAAAAAAAAAAAGGATATGAAACTTACTTTCACTTATTGAAGATTTCAGAAACTGAAATTTGCTTATTGAAGGTTTCAGAAGCTGAAATTGGCTGGGCCCTTTCTCACCCTCTGTGCTTCACTAAATGCCTCTCTCCAGGCTCCTGTCTGCTTCTCCTTCAGTTCCAACAGTGGGGGGCCTGATGGCTGCTGCTCCTCTGGAAACCTTTAGTGCTAGGTAAAGCCTACCCTCGAACTTTAAGAAGCCCCCTTCCTTGGTCCTGTGCCATTGGTTGTTAAAGGTAGAGACACTTAGGGTGAGCAGAACTACATCAGGCCACTTGTCAGTTTTTGTTCATAGGAACTGACTGAGCACAATTCAGTAAGAGTGAGCCATTGCTGTGACCTTTGGCTATGGACAGCCCAGCACAGCTGCTGCCAATGAGCTGGGGGTGCCTGCCTTCCTGAGGCGCTGGCAGTGGCTGGGAGAATCAGTGACATCTGATTAACCAACATGATGGTTGTGAAGTTATTTCTTGTGTTCCCATAATAAGATTGTTGAAATAATAACATTTCGTTGAAGCCACAACTGTTCAAAACCAGTTAAGGACTGTTCAGATGGCTGTATCATGTGGACTGCAATCCTTGTTGTGTTTTAATTTGTTCCAGATGTGTCCCATCCTACTATTATGAAATAATTCTTATTAATGCAAAATTGTCTTGTCTATCCGAGGCAGTGTTGTTGAAGCATACTGCTTCATCAGCTGCAGAATTGCAGCTAAATACCTATAGAACTTCTCAGGGTTTCACTTTCTCTTTGTTGTGTACAACACATGAGCCAGGTTTTGATACTTGGGATTTAAGGATATTCAGAAGGCCAGGAAGGCAGCTATATTTAGCTGAGTCTTGTCATTGGCTGACTGTAATATTCATTTGTTTTTCTCAATGTGAATACAAAATTTCAATCATTGTATTTGAGAGACTTTGTGGCTAATTCCCAACCAATTTTCTTTTGAACATATAGCATTTAGTATGAGCATATTCAAAACATGTGTTCCCTTATACATAAATAGGTTTTTCTTTTCACTAGTGAGTTAAATGGTTCTTTTAGAAAAATTGAAAAACAACTCTGCATTTACTAAGTAAGGTAATTAAACTGCCTTTTTAAAATAAAATTTGAATTTTAATGCAGTAATGAAGTAGCCATGTTCAGAGTGTGTATCTGTTTAGAAAGAAACTTTGAATTTGTAAATATTTGTCAAAATAAAAAAATTAGCATATTATTACTAACTACAGAATTTTTCAAACTTCGTCAGTTGCCTCCTAATGATTTTTACTACTCTAGGATCCAATTAATCCATGTGTAATCTCATGAGATCTTTTTCAAAAGTGTTCAGGGTAGATGGAAATATGTAAGATAAAATCATTTTCTATTCTGTTGAAAAGGGGAAAATGTGCACAAGAAGAAATCATTATATAGCAGCAGATTGCCTTGACCCCGAAAGCTGCCTGCTGTGAGGGTGCTGCTGGGATTCAGTGTCTGGATTTCGTGTCCAGACTTGTAACTGTGACCTACTGCCGTGATAGATTCAAATGCATGCCTAAGACTTGGTTTCTGCTCTGGTAGCCCTGTTCCCCACCTCATTACAGTAATTGCCATCTTCTAGAGTCCCCTCAGCTTCTGTAGTCACGTGGAGTAGATCCCAGTCAGCGATTGACAGCCAACTGTGCTGTCAGAATCCTAGAGTTAAGCCTGCTTTCACATTGTGCCCTTCTAGCTATAAACCTTCCTAAGGTTCCATTTCCTTGTCTCCAGTGTTCAGAGAGGAGGTGAGGTTTAAATTTTCTAATCATCAGAGATCACTTATGAGAGTGCCTGGTACAAAGCAGAGAACTGAGTGACTGCTTTGGCATTGTCACTGTGTTCCAGAAAAACTGCGTGCATTAGTCCACTGGCTGGGGGATGAAGACGTAGCAAAGACTTAGTGCCAGAGGCAAATCTGTTTAGGGAAATTAAACTGTTTATTTTTTAGGAAAGAATTAAGAGTTTGGTTGATAGGAGGAAAGAAATAAAACTTGAATACAGAATTCTGAAAAGAAAAAAAAAACCACTGAAACTCGTGAGGCAAATATTCTAATCCCCTCTTCATGGGTCAGGTTTGATCTATTGGTGTGGGAAGTGAGCGTATTTCTTAGCACCATCCCAAGCTTAGCTCATCTTTAAGCAATGAATAAATAAGGATAAGTGTTCTCATTTGTAGAGATTCATCTTATAATCTTCACAAGTGTTGTAATTATGTATATAAGGAAAAAGTCTTGCATAAAAACTTATTTTGCAGTAACATAGCTTGGTGTTTACATAGTGTTTTCTATTTTTCGGTGAACATTTATAGTGGGCTTTTCATGTGATTTGTGAATTAAAGGAGAATGTGGGAATTATGGTCCCCAAATTGACCTTTTAAAAAATGAGGGAATAAAGGCTATCAAGAAAGGCTTGGTAGAGGAAGTGGCACAACTCTGAAGGTAGGGAGGTGCATGGGGGCTCCCCAGGGGGAATGCTGCAGATGCGGGGCCGCAGGAATAGGGCAGAGTTCTCAGATTGTTCCATCTCTCTGCTGTGCAGAGGAAGGGCCTTATATGCTAGCCTCGGAGTTTGGGCTTTATTTCCTGACGGCAGGTTGCTTTCAGGCAAAGGAGAATGACATCAGATTTTAGTTTAGGAACATTACTGTGATATTAGTGTAGAAGATGAACTGGAAAGGCTTTCTGTTGAGAGGTTCATGTTGGATGATATTTTCTAAAGCTGTTGGTCAAGAGATCTGAGGACTCAGGTACAGTGAACAAGAATATATAGCCAAAATGGCACTAGCAGCACAATACTGCCTGCCACGAAAGTGAGATTTAGAACACAAATCTTTGGCTCTGGATGGGCAACAAATCTTGCCCTGGATTTACCAGATACACATTTTCATAGAGCGTTACTGTTCAATTTTCTTTGGCTTTACTTTCCTTTACTTCACCTGTATAATGAGCATATTTGTATGGCACCAAATTTGCTTATGTTCATTAACATTGATGGTTTATTTCTGACAACAAACAGGATTTGGGTAACGTGAAGATGTCTTAGGCTGGTCCCAGAACCATTCCCACGGGTGGCTGGTTCATGGGCTGCTTAAGCTATGTAGCTGTGTCCATATAGAGAATTTAGGATCCAGTTCTGTCCAACTTTAATCAGAAGTAATTATTCAATCTTCTGGAAAGAGTTAAAGATATCACATTACAGTGATCTGTGCCTACCCATGTGTATAGCAGCACAATTCATAATAGCCAAATGTTCATCAACAGATGAATGGATAAAGAAAACATGACATTTACACACACTGAAATATTAATTTGCCATAAGGAAGGATAAACCTAAATCATTTGTTAAAAAATAAATGCACCTTGAGACCCTAATATTAAGTAAAATAAATCAGACATAGAAGCTTAAATATTGTATGATTTCTTTTGTATGAAAAACCCAAAGTATAAATATGTTAAAGAGTAAAATAAAAGTAGGAAACGGAGGTCATTTGCAAATGAGGTGATCAAGAGTTGGAGGGGGCAGATGGAGTGGAAGGGGTTGTGCAAAGAATTAAGATGTTTTTTGTACATGTACCAGCTGCCCATGAGGAACATAATCATTATATGCTGGAAATATATACTAATAAAAATTCAAATTACAAAGTAATTATTAAAGGGCTTCCCTATTTTATTTTCTCCCCAGAAATAGAATAACCCAAATATTTTATAGAGTTTCAAGTTTATTAATGTATATATACTCAGGATTCTCTTAAGATCAGGTAGGAAAAAAAACAAAATGCCCCCTAGCTCTGTAGCAGTGGTTTGTTTATCCTGTTTGCAGTCACACAGAGAACTGTGTTCCTGTCAGGGAGAAAGCAGCATGTGATATGTCTTCCGGCACACTGAACTGGGTGGATCAAGTCC